TATATATATATATATATATATATATATATATATTTTTGATTTTTGTTGATAGATATTATTTATGCGGAATAGTTAATATTAAAATTCCACTTTGTTATATGGAAATGTTTTCGCAGAGAAGTCTAGAAGACTATTTCGGTAAAAGTATATGGACTTTACTTTGTATTATCTAATCCAGATTCTCTTTAACTTTAAATAAATTATTCATCAATTTTTAGCCAGATGGTTGATTCCGATACTAGACTAAATAATGAGCGAATAATAATCTTATTATGATCTTTTCAGCTAAATTGCATTGACGTATCAACATTTAATTTTGTATAAATAACTGTTATATATTTATCTAAACATTGTTGTCATAGACATACTCAGCCGAATATATCTACTGAAGAAGATATTTCTATAACATATACATACGATTTTACTTATTCGTTAATATATGTAAGTATATCATAAGTATTATATATGTATATTTCTTAAGTTTTGTTTATCTTAATATAAGAATGCATAAGAAAAAAAACCATATATATTCGTACACATTTACTTCTCTTAAGCCTTACTAGCTCAAATAAGTAGCTAAGTAAAAGAAACAAAAATCGTTGCTGATAAGAAACACAAAAATAAAATTGTTCACCATAAAAATGTACGATTTCATCTTGAACCTTTATGACTAATGTAAGCTATAAATAATAGCAGTAGCAATTATAGTGGCTACCCAGTAAGTGAATTTAATAAATCTAAACATAAATACCATGATTTCGATTCATCACATTTTCTATAGATGGGGCCCACTGTGCAGCGCAGTGCGCTTAACTTTTCGCTTTTTGTGTTCGCCGTCTTCGAACTTTGCGGTTTTTATGGCGCGCAGTGTTTGTTGTTAAGTCCAAGTGCGCGGATCGTTTAGAGGAGGTCTGATCGACTCCTGCCTAGATAAGTTTAATTTTGTCGTTGAGTCTTTTGTGAGTTTTAAACATTTTGGTGTGTACATAATTGAAAAGGTGGCATTTATTGCATGTTTCCGAGGTGTCAATAAGCTGTTGAGATTGTTGTAGAGCTATTGTATATAAAACAAGGTAAATATGCTAGAACAAAACGTATCGAATTTGCCAATTAACAAATGCACATTTTACCTTCTGTCATACTATTTCATATTACGCTTTGCACAAGTCTTCATTTCGTTTGTTGAACTTGCTATTAATTTACTATGCATAAAACTGTAATCGGAACTACTGTATATAATATATACTTTGATGCCAAAATATTTGATCAGGATATAAATTAATATATCAAAATGCTCAATTTATCTTGTACTGATAAATTATGTTTTCTTTTCGTTTCTCAAATAACTTCCTTGGGTACGTTGAACTTGTTATAAAAGTGTTATATTCAAAAGAGTAAAGAGAAGCATAGAACATCCCACATATGCTGACTACTGTTATACTATTATATTTTTTATTCCACTATCCACAAGACTTTCTGGCATATACAAAAATTGCCCCACATACAAAATATAAATAAAACGTAGGATTTCGAGTGTGACAATTGCGTCTACACACACACACACACACACGTTTGGTCTGCTGTTATACACTGAATTTATTACCTTGCTATTGATCTCATTTCTTAACTATGCTTTCGCTTTACTTGCTGCTCTTTTGACCGACAATCCCAAAAGATGATCTCAGCAAGACACAGAATTTTGGACTCAAAACACACGTGAGATTATAAAAAAAAAAAATTCAAATTGTCTTCGACTTTAGTGTAAATTGAATCAAGAAAACGAAATAAAGAGTACAAAGTATTCTGAGAAAATGCTTACATGAAAAATTGAGATGTAAAGATATGAGTTTCATTAGAAAATGATGCATTGCTATAAAAAAAATATTTGTATATGTATATGTATTTAAATGTATACTAAAATAAAAATGTATTTTGGCTAAATGCTGAATTTGTAGCCACAGAAATTACTTTAGATATTATATTTATATATATGTCGGACTATAAACAAGACCCCTTTATTGTAAGCGCGGCGATGCGTGTAATCATGCGAATTTAGCTATACAAATATAACAGATTTGCATATGACAAAGTTGAGCTCCATTGTGCAGCTAATTAGAGAAACTAATCATACCGTGTGTGATACAGAGAGAATAATCAGATTATTTCAGTTACGTGGCCGGCCTTAGTTTGGGATTTAATGGTTCGTAACGTGCGTACGATAAGCTTTATTTTTAATTTATTTTACATCTGTTACTTCAGCTCAGCTCGAACTCAATACAAAGTTTTTTTTTTTGCTCGCGCTGCATACAAATTTCTATTTGTGGTTTAAGTGAGTTTTATGTCTATTTAAGTGACAAAGTTGCGACTGTGGCATGTGACGATAATATCAAGGCATGTCATCAGCCCCTACAAATGGAGAGACTTTGCTCAGTGGGCTGCGGCTTATCTCCAGTAGAACAGTTTGTGTGTATGCGATGAGCATATGGCAAGACTTGTCATCAGCCTTGAGCATTGGCTGGCACTGATCTTCAGCAAAACACTTTAATGCAGCATATAAGAATGCTATCAGCATCTGGCATTAATAATTCGAATATTCGAGTATAACACTTTCTATATATACGATGATTATATAGCAGGCATGTGATCATCGTCTACAAGTGAATATTTGAAGCATGTATAACAATTATATGTATGCGATAATCATATGAAGTATTTTAATATTTTGAGCATTGGACTGAAGTATAACACCTTTTAGGCTATATCCATAATATCAGCTGAGGCTAATAAAAAATATTCATATAGAATCATCAATTCAACACGTTGTATATACGCCTTGTACTTTGATATTTACTGGACTGACTTCCAGTATAACACTACATATGTACACTATTAAAACGTCATTAATTGATCAGCCTAACAGTATAACACTATGTAAATGCCACGATTTTTATCCTATTTATATAAGGACAGACATTTTGATAAAATTGCTATGGTATAACACTTATTTTGAAGATTCCATATATTGACGAATTCGACATCTGATCAGAAATTTTTTATATTAATTCAATTTGTTTCATATTTATGTCATATATATTATATGTTATTCATTTCACATAATGTTTGACTCGTAATATTGATAAGATGTCACCAATAAATTGAATAGCTGACATCAAATGAGAGCATTAGCTTTGTCAATTAAAAGCATTTTAATTACTTGGTGTTTAAATTAAATTTATTATATTGTTAGTTAATTTAATGGGATCGACTGACTGACACAGTTCATGAACTTTTGTGTGCCGATTCTGGAATTTCTTTCAAATGTATGCGTGTATTTTATTTTATTTTTGTATTTAATATTTTTTTTTGACGATTCGGAAGGTGTCAGAATGCAGTATTCCGATTATAGATGTTTCGCAGTTGGAATTATTTGCGGCGGCGGCGTCTTTTGTTTCATTTGTGTGCAAGAATTCAGTTAATTTGTGTGCGGGTCGTTAATTTGTTGAGCAAACATTGAGCAAACTACACGATTCTCAAATCAACAAAATATCACGCACGAGCGCAATTACAGAATTATTAAATACAATATGTATTTGCACATGAATCGGACTTGATTTTGGCTACAGAAATACAACAAATAGAAATAAAAACGGATCGGCATTGTTTTGTGTTCCTATTGCTAAAACTAATCGTTAAGAGATAAGCTTCTCTTGATTAATTTTCACTATTGTACAACTGGAACACGCTATCATTGCCACTTGAGAGTATTGAATTGATAAATATACTTTGAGGCAGGTGTTAAAAAAAACAATGTAAAGGTTCTTAACTCTGATTAACAATAGCAGCATTGGAATATCGCTTAGACACATCGTAAAACCCATAATATTTAATTGAAAAATTTTGTGGGAAATACTCATTAAATGTATAATTCGTTTTAAGTAATAAAGCTAATTACAAAATTCTTATGGCCCAAGGTGCTATTAGATGAATAATCTTCATGACAAATAACTTAACCAAGTAATACCCTAGCAGAATATATGAGATACAGAAGACTCATGAGCAACCCAAGTAGCTGCAGTTATATATTTGATTAGATTGACTAGTTTTAAATATACTCGATTAGTGCTATAATCTCAACATGTTATCTACAGACTGTGTGAGTATAAATTATTCAGTGAGTCAATATAATCTTTTCACATCATAAGAGCAGAATATAGATCGAACTAAATGGTTTTGACTATGTTGATTTTGGGAGTATAGTAGAAATAAAGTATAAATTAGGTTAATGCCATAAATAAATGCAAAAAATATTTCAACATAAAGAATATAAATTGATTTATTGAATTGATGAAAAGCAGAAATAACTTCTGAATTATTTATAGAATATTAAAAAGCAATTGTGTTACATTATAATAAAATTAATATGATTTCAAAAAATACGAATTAAGAAGAACTTTCATAAACAATCTACGATTGACGGAGTAATCAGCATTTGCTGAAGCTATTTTGATAATCGTATGTAATTTAGATGGAACTTAAGGAACGTCGAGATTGAGGTGCGCCAGCTGTTGTCAACCAATTGAAAATATCTTTGTCAATTCAGCAATCTGAATTTATGGCAAGTCCCAAACAAGATGTCACCTCGAACATTTATCTATTAACGGCCGGCAATTAAACTCGAAAGCGGAATGGGAATCGATATCAAAAGAGCACTTGAAGTCATGTGTCTGATATATTGATATATTACAAGCTCCCACTCAAACGTCACTGGCAACCGTCTAGAAAGTGACCTGCTATCACATACCCTGGAATCCAAAATTGAGTTTATCCGTGAAGAATAAAAAAAAACTTGGGATATTAATATTATAGAAAATTTCACTTTATTTTCGCTATCTATTCTATTTCTGCCTTTCCCTCTTATTTTATAGGGTATTCAAAGTTCTCACTGTGAACTTTTCATATTGAGACTTGCATTAAAAATGTAAAAAATATTAAAAAAGCAAAAATAAATAAATGGAAAACTTGCATAAAAAATAAAAATAAAATCTTGTTTTCAAGTCTAAAGTTTTCATTTCGAATTCAGCATTGCGTAATCGTTGATTGATATTTATGGCAAGTCTCTGGCTCTTAGAACACATTTATCATGCGTTTCATCTAAAGTAAAGTATGATTGTTGTTGTTGCTGTTGTGGCTGTGGTTGTGTCTGATATGTTGCTTTGCGATGGCATGGCCAACCGCTTGTAACCCATTTTTGGCCTGGCAACTGCTCTTGACCGTATTGCGAGCAGCACTTGCGCCAAATACGAAAAGCAAACAGACGACCCGACCATAAGCAGGCTGGGCGGATGAGGAAGGTCAAGAGGGGCAGCAGTTATAGCTAATCAATTAGGCTGTGGCTCAAGTACTTATGTTCCACTCTGCAAGCGAAAGAACAGAGAGAGAGAGGGAGGGAGACGGGCAGAGGTTCCAGCTGCTGTAGCTTATCCCCCAGATCCGAGCCATGCGTGGTTGAGGTTCAAGGGCAAACTCATACAATGTCATTCTCCAGGCAGGGTGAGGGCAGCTGCCAGCGATTGGAATCATGCATTCAATTAGGTTAAGCCTCAAATACTCATACACACATATGCCGCTCTGCAGTCAATATTTATCATTTAATATTTACCCCAACTTCGCGACTTGTTGCCAATTATGCAAATAATACTCTATTCTATATGCTGATAATGAAATCGCCACAATACGCAGTTGAGCCAATAGTTGCTTAATGCTCAATTAACAATTTTTCATATGTTTATTTGCTATTTAAGTGACGTCTAAGGCCAACGTCCCTAAGAGTGTAGAGTGGAGTGGAGAGTGGGATGTGTAGAGTGTATGTATGGAGTAGAGTGGAGTAGAGAAAAGAGTTAAGCGTTAAGAGTAGAGCAACGCAGTGTGTAAGGAATGTACATAGCGTGTAGAGAGTGTAGAGTTGTAGAGTATTTGGAGTACTTTGAGTGTGTACTACACACTGTGCAGGGTGTGTAAAGCGCGTCAAGTAAGTGCAGTGTGTAGAGCGTGCAGAAAGCGTAGAGTGTTTATACTATAAACTTTATAGTGAGTAGACTGATAGAGTGCGTTAAGTGTGCACAAGAGTGTAGAGTGAGTAGAGTGCGTAGATTCAAAAGATTGGGAATATATAACACTGTAGACAGTGAAACGTAAGCAGAGTATGTAGACCATGTAGTAAATGTATGAATTGTAGAGAGTGGAACGTATGTAGAGTACTCAACGCATGTGGATGGTGTAGAGAGTGTAGACTTTAGCGTAAAGTGTTTGGATAGTTCAGAGTGAGTAGTCGAATGTAGAGAGTATATCATAGAAAGTGTGTAGTGATTGTAGAGAGTGAAGCGAATGTAGAATTTAGAGTATATGGGGAATGTAGACAGTGTAGATAGGGTAGACAGTGTAGGGAGTATATATGTATATATATAGAGTGCTTATAGATTCATAATGAAGAGTCGAGTGTATAGAGTGTGTAAGAATAGTAGTGGAAGAGACTAGAATTGAGTAGAGTAGAGTATTCTACTTTAAAATAGGGTGTTAAGGTTGTGGAGGGAATGTCGAAAGTGCTGGCGGTGTATAAGGACTTGTGAACCTTAAGATTGTAGAGTGCTTATAGAATAAAGTGAAGTGGTCAAAATGTGAGTGTTTAAATAGGGTTGAATTTTTAGAACAATTGATGAGTAATGAAGTGTTTAGTAATGTGTTTTTAATTTTCTTTTTTCCCTTGGATACAATAAATTGCGAATTTCTTAAAATATAAATACTTATCCACTAAACTTACTAAAGTATTTTTCTTCCGCATCGCCAACATTCTGCTAAACACTTAATTATGCCAATGCATTGCAATGGTTCCAGAATCCCATTCGTCTATTACTTTTATCAATTCAATTGAGGCTTTAGCTCGAGAATTGGCTCTGAAAACCAATGTATACCAATGAAAACAAACTCAAAGACATTAAAAATCAGATTAAGAAGAAGACATAAATATATATATCACATATGGGTATTTTCCCCATTCAGTGAAATGGAATGCATATCTAAGCGCTTCTCTGACAGTCAATTTAATTGCCTGTGTCTCTAGCTGCAAATGTAACTGTGGAGGTGTCGGAAAACCAATTATGTAGCATGACAACGATGTCATCAAACGGATATGGCTGTCATAGACATTACTCATTCATATTCGCATCGAGTCCGGCTGGTCTGTGGCCCGTATTAAGAGCTGCATTCAAATGCGGTCATCGCCCACTTATGCTTGACAATTGTTCAGTTCCGAGCAGAGAGTGCACATACATACATTATTAATAGACCTCTTGGACTGTGTCTCGTGTCTTGTGTGTTGCAGTGTGTCATTGTCTAGCTGATCGCCACCTGAAGAAGATGGGCAAGTTCGAGTATTCCCTGGGTCTCAATGAGTTCAAGTCGAAGGATCTGCGTCTCTGGCAGGCGCTCATCGGCGAGTTCATTGGCAATCTGATATTGAACTTCTTTGCCTGCGGCGCCTGCACACAGCCCGAGGATGGCACATTCAAGGCGCTGGCCTTTGGCCTGGGTGTCTTCATGGCCATTACGGTAAGCAAAGCTTGACTGCGCGATTGATTGATATGATTGATTGATATTAACTCCGCTAGATCGTGGGCCATTTGAGCGGTGGCCATGTCAATCCAGCTGTTACCGTGGCTATGCTGGTAGCGGGTCGGATCAGCGTGCTGCGCGCTATCCTCTACATTGTGTTCCAGTGTCTGGGCGCCATTTCAGGCACGGCGGCTGTTAAGGTGAGTAATCAATTGATATGATAATAAAAACAAGTATATGAATCTAATACATTCACTAACAAGTTATGTCAAAAATATAATGATCCCTAGATATTTAGTTTATTGGGCTATTAGTTTTAACAACTTAAAATTAAATTATTCAATATTTGTAAATACTATATATAATTGAATAATATTTATGGAAGACGTATTATATTCGTATTTTAAATAAATAAATCATAATAAATAAATCATATAATTGCTAGTTTCACATCAAAAATTGCAGTCGTTAAATTAGTTTACTTTATTCCAATATAAATTAAAATAACAATACTTAAAAGTAAAGAAAAGTTTGCAAACACAATTATTTAAATTTTGGTATTGCTATACAAAACAATATCAACAATAAATACATTTAAATATTTGAAAAGACTTAGTTTACAATCTAGAGAGAATAGATATTTCTATATAGCATATAGTCTATGCTCAAGAAATCTCTTGGCCATTCCAGATCCTGCTCGACTCAAACTATCACAATGGACTCGGTCACACCAGCCTGGCGCAGAATCTGACGGAGCTGCAGGGCATGGGCATTGAGTTCTTCCTGGGCCTCGTGCTGGTGCTGACCGTGTTTGGGGCCTGCGATGCCAACAAGCCCGACTCGCGGTACACCGCTCCCTTGGCCATTGGCATGGCGGTGACCCTGGGCCACTTGGGCACCATTCATTATACGGGCGCCAGCATGAATCCGGCACGCACTGTGGGCACTGCTTTTGCCACGGGCAATTGGAGCGCCCATTGGATCTACTGGGCCGGCCCTATACTGGGCGGCATTGCGGCCGCGCTGATCTATACTCAGATACTGGAGGCGAAGGACACGCCCAAGAGCAGCGAAAACGCTGAGAAATATCGCACGCATGCCGATGAACGTGAGGTGAGAGCTTTTGCGGCTTGGCATGACAAGAGTTTCTATTGAAACAACACACACACACACATACACACACACCTTCACACCTACACTCACACTCAGATTGTAAATAAGTAGCCTGATAGCCTCATATAATACACAGCTTGACTTCTTTTTAACTCCTTCGTCCCTTTACAGCTCCGCAAACTGGAAGGATCACGCGACTATGCCTAGTCCTATGAATATCCTGTATAAACATCCTGTTCGAAGGCCACTCACAGCCCGTCGAGTCGCCAGTCGAAATGCTCAACAAGAATTGAAAGGGAATTCGAAGGAATTGCTTTCGTCCAGATTCCGTTTCGCTACAATCTTGAATAATATTTTCGTATACGTGTTAATTTATATATGTATGTGCGAGTATTTATGTTATATTATTTATGCAACATCATTTTAAACACTAATATTTAATTTAAGCTGTGCTTAACCCCACACAAATTCAAGCAAACTACTTCTATACAGATTTCAGTTCATAATAAAGAGTATTATCCACAAAATATACACAATGCATTTTCTGTAAATTAATTGTAGAGTTACTCCTAAGGTAACCGAAAGAGCAAGCTGGACCATCAAACCATGTTGTCCATTCAGCTTTTAAAAATTAATAATATATAGAGAATTCAGAATAACCTATGCTTCTATAGAATATAGCATCTGTCTATATGAATGACTCTGTTTAATCTACTGTAACAGCAAGCTAATTCGTTTCGTTATCGTATCGTAAGACTTACGACATTCAGTGTTAGCCTTCATAGCTGTTCAATCGGCAAAGCAGTTGAAAAGCTCATATCTAAAGCTTTTAAAGCGTTTGCCAATACTGGAATATGTTGGCGCCAGAAGCTTAACAGTAGCAGAAAGCACACACACACACACACACACATGCACGCACAGGCAGCAGGCAGTGTTTGAAAATAGCAACAAAATGCCATGCGCCAAAGTGGAGAGAGAAAGCACAGAAGGAAAATGGAAAAATGTAGCTCATAGACTCAGTTGCTGTCGTTGCGTGTTGGCTGAAAGCGTAAAAGACACAAATTGTCGCTTGTAAATAAATAGATGACAATAAATATAAATAAAATTAATAAATTAATATACTAAATAATAAAATCTACACATATGAAAATTAGTGAAGAATGATTGTGATTTCCAATTGCATAAAGTGTTAATTCAAGCAACAAATTTCGTGTCGACTGCAAATAGAAGATTCGAAAACGAAAACGTCAAAGTAAAGGAAGCATAATCAATATGAATTCACGCTGTTAAAGCCAACAGCCTTGCAATTGTGGGCAAGTCAGCCGCTACACGGGCCGAGAAGCTAAAGAAAACGGTCAACTTAGGCGAGTATAAGCAGAAAAAACTGCATTGGGTCGCGTTTGGCCCACTTTTGGGCAGCCAAATCGATTTCTAGTTGCATGTGTATTATGAAACACCTGCGCGACTATTGAGCCAGCCCGCAGGACAGTGCTCCTCCGGTCGCGAGTTAACACCTTGCCAATCAATACAATCACGTGCAAGTGCAAAAGGTAATAAATGTTCCATTTCGCCTAAGAACAGAAAGTTAAAATAATATGAGCAATGAAAAAGAACCAAACTCAAACTACATACAAAAGCAAAATATTAAAGTGCGTGCGAAGAAGGAAACACGCAGTCCGTCTGCCCTGCCGATAGAGTGAGAGCGAGAGAGAGGGAGAGAGAGGGAACGCACGCCTCAAAGAGAGTCGACAAAGAGCAAAGGCCAGCGTGAGAGCGTGTGTGCGTGTGAGTTGCAGCTGTGTGCGTGTTGTTTACATTGGCTCGCGCTCTGCTCTCTCTGCTCTCTGCTCTCTCCGTCTCAGCTGTGCTTCAGCCTGTGGCGCGAGCCCTGCTTAATAACCGGCTACTGTAAAGGGCAATAACAGTTGTTTGACAGCAACAATTAATTAAATCATTTAGCTAAGCACATACTCGAGCGAAATCAGCGCCCCATTTATACATGTGATAGCTGCCAATTATATATACAAACACACCCACACTGACACACACATTTGTTTGTTGCCATAAATCAAGCACTCGCCGGGTGGAAACACAATAATAAACAACAAAACAAACCAAACTCTATAGTCAGTGGCTATAATAAAAATAAAACCTTCACCCAAAATCTGTCAATAAAGAAGAACAAAGTGTGTGTGTGTGTGTGTGTCACACAGATACACATATGTACGTACTCTACTTATACACTTAAAGCTTTGGCGGTTTATTTCTGTTCAGCGCAAATGATGCGAATTCCTCATGTCATCTGCAGAGAAATGCGAATTTTAGTGTCTGCTAGTAACACAATGTTTGATTGAAAATTTATAGTACAGTGTAGCCTGACTAACTCGGATTGTTTACAAAATGTTTTATTCGATTTTTCAATTACTATTATTTTATACCAGTTTTCATTTTTATTTAAGAAAGCATATTCATGTATTCCTATGTATATATGTATATGAGATCAGGTATAATTATTATAGCTAACATTATATTATTATCATGATAGAATAAAATTTGTTGAATAGTAATGTACATATTATAAATATACATATATATAAAAAAAAAAAAACGAATACTTGATAGTTTTAATTAAATAAAGGGAAATAATTGTAGGTTTATATTAGAGTAACCTGCTCTGAATGAAACAGTCTCGAAACAGATCTTAGCAGAGACCCGAATCTGATATCTGATGAAAATACATTCAAATGCATATATATGCACATAAATGCTTTCACACATACATACATGTACATGTGAGTCCAATATGTATAGATTATGCATTATCTTTTTTGTGGGATACTTCCTTTATAGCCTACTAGAACACCTTTGCCTCCAGCATACTTAATCCTATATGCGACGCACACACACACACATGTAAATATACACAAGTATATTTACATTGACAGAAGCGCAGGTCGCTCTCGATGGGTTCAATGCACACACTCACATGTGTACACACACACACACTCACACACAGGCACACATTGATTGGCTTTGCCACACACTCTATTGACATCAATGGCAGCGATGTCATTTGGTCTCGCACATTGACCTAGAACACTTATTAGAGGTTATGCGTTGCTATAAATAGTTTACTCTCCATATGCATGGATAATGCTCAAAATAAATATAGATAAATCTGTTGAAATATATTTATTTATACGTATACGTATGCGTCTGTGTGTGTGTGTGTGTTTGTGTGTGAGTGTTCATATGACGTACATACGAGTTGGAGGCCAACGAAGCGGAAATTTCGTAAAGAATTATCATCAAAATTTTGGGATCATTAAATACTTCGTCATTTATGGCACATTTAAATGCCACGCAAAGCTACAAAGTTCTTTCAAATGTCTTCAATAATTTGTTTATAATTCGGTGTGGATAGATCTATTAATATGCACAAACTTTCACTTGAAATCAAGTTGATTTTTCTTTGAATATAGCATAATTTATTATCACTAAGGAACTTTTCTCCACACACACACAAGTGTGAGCCTAATTTGTTTTGACAGCTGTCAAATGCAATTTATTGATTCAGTAGAAGAAGTAGAAGAAGAAGAAAAACATGTTAATATCCAGTTCGTGAACTTTAAACAAGTTTACAAAATCTCTCAACTGTAGTAGACAATTTAGAAAATTTAGACTCCTTTGCCTTGTTCATTTATAGCATGTGTGTAGAGTGTGAAAAATCTGACCATGATCTTAGGAAACAGACTGAAATTTGGAATATATACTTAAAATTTAAATAAAATCCAACAATTATATACAATGTTAGGAAAGGTAGAACGACTTCCAACTTCTCTTGTGGTTTGTCTATTGATAGAGTATCATTAGATATGAATATTTTATCTACATATACAAAACTAAGTGATGTATGTCTCTACCATAGTTGAACATTTTTGTCTTTCTTAGAAAATTAGAAAATATCCACTCCTATTAAATTTTCTCTCAAAAAAGACAAACAATGTCAGCATTCTATTTATAGATTTTCTGGCTATATTAATTTTGGAATAAATTTTACAATTTTAGCGGAGCGCTTACCATATAAATTTAGTCGGATGTTTATATGAATTTTATTGCATATACAGACAACTAATATAAATATTTTTATTATAAACAAATATCAACCTCTCCACCTTCAGTTGCGATACATCGTAATAGATAGGAAGTTATGCAGCTGGACAGCTCCAAGTCTTAGCGCTTCTATGCCGAAACGGGCTATCAAACACAATTTCAATCATATCGAAACGAGTTAGACAGGTAAGATAGCCAAATTCTATGTTTATATACATATTTATATATATATTTGTAAATTACAGAACTAAGGAGTGAAGTCATCAAACAAGGATGTGGACTAAAGAAAGCGCAGCCAGACAATGGCTGCTGGCCCTGGCAGGTAAAGACACCATAAACGCAATCGACAGCAAGTGATTACGATTAAGTATTAATACACAATTAAGGCCAGCCAACAAGTAGCGAGCAGCTGCTTTATGGGCCAATACTTGTTTTTATTAGCCAAAAAGTCGAAGGCAAACGCGAGGCACTTCAAAGACCCCACAAAGATTATTTACGAGCGCAGAATGGAAGCAGAATCTTGTTGATATGTTTTACTATAATCGTGAACCAATATAGAATGTGTGAAGTGTATAAATAGACAAACTAAATATGTGCCACAACCAAAAACACACAAATACACTCAGACACACACACACAAAGACACATTTGACAACGTCAGGCAACGCGTCGTATGAGCGATGTGCTAACAGATGAGCAAACAACATGAATTTTGTGTGTGGCTTGAAGCGTAGAAGATAATAACAGTTTGATATCTGACTCTCCCTCTAAATTAGTTAGTAATTGCCTTCATTTTGATCAAAAATTAATTTAACAACGATTTCGTTTTTCACACAAGTTTTTTTGGCATTGGCAAAATTCGGTACAGCTGATAATTGTTTTCCAAGTAAGTTTTAGTTTTCGGTTTCAAAATTCATTCAACGATTTCTGTTTTGCATATGGTTTACAGAACCTTGTTTTACATTTTGCGTTTCATTACTAAAAACTAATCGTGTATATTATTTAGTTATGTATTTGTACTAAAAACAAAATCCAATATCCAAAAACTTCAGCTAGAGCTTAAAGTATTTTTGCAGTTTTTCAAAACAACAACAATTACATAGATAAAATTGAGCTAATATTGATTTTTTAAATGAATGAAAATATAGAAATATAGAAAATTAACTTTCCTATTTCTATATATTGCTAAATTGAAAACCTTTAGACTGACTGAACTAAAGTGTAAATACTTTTTATTCTAAAAATCTTTCTGAAAACTATATAAATGATATTTGATTCTACTGCAAGTTTGTCTTAAAGCAGCTGAGTTGCCGTCCCCTGTAAAATAAACGTAAATAAGTTAAGTAAATGCCACAGCAGTTGATTGAGTTCGGTTGCCTTCAGTTGAGTTTTGCTGTTCCTGTCGATTAATCGTATTAACATTCGTATATAAATACATATACTCCTTGAACACACACACACACACACTCACACACACACACCCACAGTCCCACAGTCACAGATGACGATCAGCAAGAATGTGTCGTGTGCTCGTATCATGTCTTGCGTAGCCAAAGGGTACATATCGTAATGAAACACTGTACAAATGCATTTACAAAACCTAAACAAATATGTATAGATACTTATAAGTCTAACTGTTTCACAAACTGTGTAATTACTCCCATCCTTGACAGCTGCTCTCTACACCCTCTCTACTCTCCACACTCGCTACTAATTGTACTCCACTATAATCGTAGGTCAGGTTATTCTGTTCTTTTCAGTTTTCATTTGTGTGTGGCGCGCATCCAACCCCAGAGTTTGTATATCCCACGTTCCCAATGCATGCACAGTCCGTTTAATGGAATGGTACAATAAATTGTAGAGCACAGTATAATATATGGCAGGTCTATAACAGATGAGATGTTATTGTGGTGGGATGATAGACATAATATAGAAGAGTATATCAAAGATTATAACACTATGTATATATACCATGTATAACAAAAAGCTATAAAAGTTAAATATATAACACTGTGTATAACATATTGTATAACATTGCATAATACATTGTATAGCACATTATATGGCGCTTTACATAACACTGTATAACAGATGAAAGGTGTAAATGACATATGAAATATATAACATGAATAATATGGTATACAGTAGCATACAGAATATCGAAATGTTTTAACAATATGTACATACTCGAAATGGATTAGTCGAAGCTGATCCTGTGCTTATTCAGCGTCCTGAAATTTAATCTGATATGTTCGAAATTAGATGTCCTAATTTCTATTAGATATACATATATGTAATAATGAATAATCTATGATAACCCTAAGCCATTCCATTGAGTGCGACCTGTGCCTGAAATGTCCTTTGTAAATGTATATTTGTATCTCTCACACCTTTCCACACAGCAACTGTGAACGGTTCATTTTCATCTTCCTGTCTTCTACTTTGCTCTTCCTCTTATTGTTTATTTGCAGCCATATTTGGATTTCTGACTTTTGTATGGATTCCATCAGCCTCAGCCGAATGTCAAAGTATGAATCCATTAATCCTCTACCTATATACAAATGCTTAAATAAATACTATATAATAATCTTTTTTGGCAAAAAAAAAACGAAAAGAATAACAACATACAAAAAAAAAATTCTATTTGTAATAATTTGAAAATTTAATTAACTCAAGTGAAAATAGAGAATTCAGAACTTTTCTTTATCGGCATTTTGTTCAGAAAGGCTCTGTGAATACGCAACTAATTGTCTATAAATGTTTTGATACACCTACTATGTGCCTATTTATTTCATTTTACTCTCAGTCCAGCCCCTCTCTCAAAGCCTTTGCTTTTCTTTTATATCTAAATTGATTTCCTAAATATCAAAAAATCAATTCTAACATTTCTATCAACATTTTCTTTCGATCTGAACTTTGCATATTCCAAGAACCCAAAAGCTTTAACTTGACTCGTTTCTAACATTACTTACCTAGATAACTTTTGATCTTTACTTTTCATTTCTCTTCTACTTTTGCAATATATATATGTGTGTGTATGCCTTATTTTGTTGTGCGTGTGTGTGCGTAATACAAAAAAAATGAAAAAACAAATATTCTGCAGAAATTTGTCTCTAACACATTTTCCGATATGACCTTTGACCTTTTATCCCTGACCTTTCATATTTGTGAACCGCATGTAATTTCCCTTTAAAATTAGTTAATCAAAGCATCTTGAATATTTGTTAATCTGTTCATATTTCCTTATCACCGAATGTGCTCTGAACACCTTTGGCTGCTTTTATCGTTTCACAGTTTTTATACACTTTATTGCTTTTTGAGATCAAATATATTTATTTACCGAAAAGTATATTCAAATAAGAATTTTGTTTCTCGTTTTTAAAAGAAATAGTAAGGAATCAGTGTTACCCAAACAATCAGTCATAGTCTGAATATATTCATATACATTTTTTTGTTCAATGCTTAAGTCTGAAAGAAAGTAAAACAAGATCAGTAGATCACTAATAGAGCAATGTTATCTAAATGTATATAATATGTACATTTATCTTTGACTATAGAGTTGATAGAAATGCAAAAATATAAAAGTTATCATATTAAAATCTTTGTACATAAATATATTTAAAGCCTTACAAGCCAAAATATACACTTTTCTTCTCCAAATCAGTAAATAGTACGATCTTAGTAAATTCTTATTATACTTATTTCATTGAAAATTCAGAAGGACGAATATTGCACAAAAGTCAATTTTCTTAGTTGGTTTCTTAGACGAGCATAAAAACTTTATATCTGTTGAAAGCAATCAAATTTTTAGTAATATTTCATTCGCATTGTTATGTACATATATGGAAAAAGGAAGAGTATTTATTATTTTTTTATATTTTTATATACATTTATTTATTATTTATGTTAAGCACAAAAATATTCCGTAGTCTGCAATTAAAAATGATTTCCGTAATGCACGCAATACAACGCTATAATAATGCTATAAAAGTTGCTATTATTTGTAGACACATTTGCATAGCTGTTCGAGTTGAGTTTAGTTTGATTGCATGTATTTCTGTAAGAATGATATACGTAGAGTTAATATCTACTTATATAGACGCTTCTAGTCGAGTAGTTGAAGAACCAGATGAGCAGACGAATTCTGTTTTCGCACTTGATTTATGCTGTTCGGTAATATATATGTTGTGCTCTATACTGCAGCGCGTTCGATTTACTGTTACGAGTGCGATTCGTGGACGGATGCACGGTGCAAGGATCCGTTCAACTACACGGCATTGCCGCGCGACCAGCCGCCGTTGATGACCTGCAATGGCTGCTGTGTGAAGATGGTGCGACATCAGCGATCACGTAAGTTAAACAGTTAACGAGTCACGAGTCACATATCGCATGTCACGTGTCACGTGCCACGTGTCACGATATGTGGGTTGATGCCTGTCCTTGTACTTGCAGCCTACGAGGTGGTGCGACGCATGTGTACGTCACAATTACAAATCAATTTATTCATGGTCGATCACGTGTGCATGATGGAAAGTTCAGGCAATGGACATATGTGCTTTTGTGAGGAAGATATGTGCAATTCTAGTCAAAGTTTATACTCATTCGCTAACGGTTATCAACAAATCATAATCATCACAATGCCATGGCTAATACTGCTCCAACAGTTTGTGCACAGCTAGATCAGCAAATCAGATCAGATTAGATCAGATCCGATTTGATCCGATCCGATCAGATCAGTTAGTTAGTTTTCCCAGAAGCGTTTAAAAGAACAGTACACAAACACACACACACACACACACACACACCAGTAACAGTTAACTAGTGACATATATCATGCCCACACATAGAAGACACATTTACACGTAACTTGAAATTGTTTTGTAGCCCAAGTTCTGATTATTTAAATTTCGCATCTCAAACAAAATGTAAAATGATGTTAATTTTGGTTCTGCAAGCACAGTTAACTATACTCTAATCTATAATAATGCTACGAGTAGATACAAAGTTTGACTGCACATAAACATAGATTACAAAAAACCAAAAAACTAAAACAACTAAAAACCAAAAACAAAAGACGTTGCATAATAAGACTTCCATATAAAGAAGTGCTGCATACGACTCTCTTACTTATCTAGATATATGTATATACATATACATATATACATATATAAATATCTATCTGTATCTATATGTATATATACATATATCTATATATCGATTAACACAGTCCAATGAATCAAAATGCAAGCTTGCTGCACTTGCCAGACGCATGACATTGAATCTCTTGTACTAGGTACCAGCTACTGGGTACCAAATATGGGGCACCAAGTACTACTTACTAGGTACTAAGTAAAGGGTACTATGTACAACGAGTAGAGTATTTGTTAGGTACTACCTACTATGTACTAAGTAAAGGGTACTATGTACAACGAGTAGAGTATTTGCTAGGTACCAGAAACGAACTTACCTTGGTCTTTGCTACATTAGTACTTGGTACTACTTAAGAACTCAGTTCTACTAAATTTGAAATACTGTGGTATAAGGTACCAAATAATTCTTGAAATTTTATATATTGAAATTTTTAAATTTTGGTATATTACTATATATTATATTAGTTGGTATTTTGGTACTTTGTTACTTTGCTTTTTTACTTTCGTACTAAAGTACATGGTACTTGGTACTTCGGTATATAGTACTTAGTTCCTTGGTTCCTTCAGTACTGTGCCCAATACTTGGTACATTGGTGCTTGGAGTCCCTGGTACTCGAGCTTCAAGTCAGCATCTGAAGTATTTGAAATGCATGTTGTTAATGCTAAAGCATGTAGCGCTTAAGTAGGTACTCGTATCTGTAGTTACATTTCTTTACATTTTGTTACTTACATTTATAGAGACGAAGAGAAAACAAAAACCAAAACCAAAACCAAAACCAGAACACATCTATCATATTATTACTACTCCATATGTTATGTATCATAAGTAAGCCTAACGATCTACTAGGTATATGTGACACGTAGACTACATACCTACGCGAATGTACATACATCAAAACGCAACTGATGAATGGAAACTAAATATGAAACAAAACGAGAAATCGATGAAGATAATGATAAAAAGTATTGTGCAATGGTCAAGTCTGATTGAATGCTTGTCAATTGCCGCATTAACTCAAATGAAATTTGCTCATCATGTTTATATATTCCAAGGTCAAGAGCTTCACGAATGCATAACGTAACTCTTCTTCTTGAATCTCTTAATCATTAAGCTAAGCTCTATGTCCTCTGTCATATCACACATATACTTAGGTCCAGTAGTAACTAGACAACACCCAACACACCACACACACACACAAAAACACCTCAACTTAAGTTCTGTATAAAGAATCGAATCCATTTCATTGTCCTAAGTTTTTGTTAGTCAACAAGTGATAATTAGCCAGTAAGTAGCTCCAAAACCCAGCCCCATACACAGAATTCTGGAAAGAGCTAAATGAAATCGGAGGTAAACTCTCGATGCTAGTCCGAGTTTGCTATAAATCTTGCTGTCTTTCTGTGTACGGGGTATCAGAGTGGTCGGGCAGGCCGACTGTTACGCTCTCATTTGTTAATCATGCTAGTGATAGTTTTAACGGCAAGCCCAACAAATCATTTGTGTACTTATAAATAGATATATTTATAGTTATATTGTAGCTTTTGATTTGATTTCGTTTACACACACACACACACATTATAGCGTAATTATAATCGCAAGTGGAATTTGTAAGAAAAGAATTTGGATTTTTCATTTATGTAATAGACAAAAAAATTGGCATAATCAGAAATAAACATTTTTACTACATATACTTATTTCGTACCTTAATTTAACTCTCTCACTTATACTATCTATCTAACTATCTATCAATATATACTATATAAATCACCTAGATATCAACTTTCTCAACTGCACCTTCCATTTGTAATATATATATATATATATACATATATATACTTTAGTGCCGCCTTTAGTTACATACTAACTTGCTATACTAACCAACTAACTATTCAGGTGTTGCTTTGAAGCTTTAACAATTCATCTCCGTCCAAGCGTGGCGCATGTTCTTTATAAAGTATATACCATATATGAATATAGATGAAGCCTAGCCAAATTGAAAATAAATCCAATCCCTCCCAGCCCCATACCCCGAAGGTAAGTTCCACGAAGCTCTCTTTTGCACTCAACTCTCAGAACGAAGCCGAACTGAAGGACCAGGAGCACAAGACTTCCAATACAGCTGAGATTTGGATATATACTATATATACCCTCTCCCTTGGCAAATCCGGATGTGGCAAACGTTTAGTTTTAGTTACTCTTTTGATTTTTGTACAGTTGAGTTTGTTTTGATTATGTTTTGTGGTATGTTGGTTTATTTGACTATATACATACAATATGCATACAAGTATATACATATTATACATATATATATATTTAGTACTCTATATATATATATATATGTATATTAACCAATTTCGGTTTGTGAATGTGGCAATATTCTATTATAACCAGTATTTTGATTGACAGTTAATGCGTTTCAATGCGAACTAAATTTATTTGCATCAATAACAGTAATACGATCGATCACACACACACACACTCCCACACACACACACACACACACACAGAGATTTGTAGTGCAAAATGAAAAAAGAATAACAAAAACAAACAAACAAAATATTATTTTAGTTTAGTACTTTTTGTAGTTAAAAAATCTCTCTCTCTCTATATATATATATATATATATTTCACTCGCTCTCTATTTATCTCTCTTTATCTCATATTTCTCAAAGCTCTCTCTCTCTCTCTCTCTCTCTCTCTCTATTTTCTTTAACGATCTTTTTACTAATCTATACTTCACGAAACATAGAACTCTTTTAGACACTTCCGTAGTTCACTATAAGCAAACCACACGTCAAATCAAATCAAAGAAAATACTATCCACACACACTTTCCCCATGAGAGATATGCACTCGTTACTGGGATTTGGGATTGGGATTTGGATTATGATTGTAAGCCATGCTAGATACGTATGTAACTTAACCCAATTCTTATTGCAGACCTTTGATATAGAAAAGTTAGATCCGCTTCCTCAAAGTTTCAAGTGCATATCCTAACTGATCTAAAATACAGCACAAAACACAGTTCAGTCTTAGCCAAAAGGAGCCAAATCATAGGAACTAAAATTTTATACCAGGCGCGATTCTAATTCAATCTATTTTTTTCTTCATGAAAGCCCTATCGAAGGGTAGAAAAATAGTTCCGTTTTTTATCCATAAATTCCTCACAATACAAAAAGCACTAAATTAATATCAAGACATTACCAATATAACAGTTAAAAAAGTTGAAGAATATTGGTATTGGTTGTTGAATATTGTAACAGAAAATCAAAAACTCAAACAAAAACAGAAACGAAAACGAACTTGAGAAAAACCAACATTTCCTTATATATGTATATGTATATATACTTTTCTTTTTTTGATTTCGAAAGTTATGTTCATTCAGAAATCGCCTCTATTCAAATCCCGAGATGAGCCCGAGCCCTGTGCGTCGCCTTCTTTGTTGAATCATTATTTCTTCTATGATTTCTTTCATTTCTCGACATGGACACCGAGTCGCTACATACAAGCGCACACACACACACATGCATACATTCACACCTACATGCGCATACAAAAAGAAATACCAAATTGTATTTTGTGCATTGTCACAAGACTCACCAACCCTCTACGAGAGCCATACACCAGACGCCATCCATTTACCGGCACGCATTCGCAATGCATATTGCTGTACGGAGCTTCCTAGCTGCGTATATAAATATGTGCATGCATGTACTTCTTGCAGTTGGGTCGAATGGCCTGTGCTCAGTTCGCCACATTTTGCTCAACATTTCATAGGCATAAGTCGCATTCTGTCCCTCTCTAACAGCAGCTGCACAGGCGCACGCAGTGTGCGCAATTGTTTTTATCGCTCTCTCTCGCAGCGCTATTGCCATACTCGCACACTGTCTCTCTCTCCCTCTATCTCTATCTCGTTTTCCACTCTCAATCACGTTGGATATGCGCTTCCATTACCTAAATACCATTACGATTACAGTTACCGTTACCATTACCGTTATACGCTATGGTGCTTTTTCACATACGCCACCACTGTCTGACTTAAAATTTTTTCATCATGTACGCCATCGCCTACCATGACAGTAGCCGCAATGGCGCGACAGTTGCTCCACAACCAAACGCCACACATGCAAACGTACAGACTGTATGTACGTGAGTGTGAGTGCATGTATGTGCGTTTGCAGTATAATTGTGAGCAAACTGCGCGCGCACATTGCTGTGCAACTGCATACCGTCGGCTCGGCCCTGTGCCTGTGTGAGTGAGTTCGCGTGCGTACGTATGTGTGCGCGCCTGCCTGCCCGTCTGGCTACAAAGCGCACACTGTCACAGGGCCAGCCACCCTTATATGTATACTATGTGAACGTCGCTGCGGCGTAATCAAAGCATCAACAGCAGCAGCAGCAGCAGCAACAACAGCAACAGCCACAGCAGCAGCTACAACAGATTGGGCAACAACAGTAACGACAACAGCAGCAACAACAACAACATCGTCAACAACGGAGTAAAAAGAAACGAAGATGAGCTTTAAGGCTTTTAGTCGCTTTTGCGAAGCTATTCGAACACCAAAAAGCAAAAGCTTTCTATTTGTTCAAGCTATACGCAATTAAATATTTAAGTCTAAATATGCTTTGATTTAGTTATATTCTGATTTTGATTTTCTTTGCCTAAGCCTAAGCTTCTGCAAATTTTAGACTCTCTTTCTTAAGCTCTCTATACATAAGTGTTAAACATTATAAATGTAATACATATAATTAATCACAAAAAGAAGGAAAAAAGAAAACCTTAGTTATCGAAAAAGCTTTAGCTATAATAATTATCCAGCCTTTAGCTGAAATTAACTAGTTCTATAAGAGTTTGTCAAGGTATCAGTTATATTTATTATATGATTACCTTATGAGTACCATAGTAATCCGATATCACAGTTATTTCCAATCTATGAAGTTCAATTAATGTACCTAAAATATAAATTTCAATAAAGCAATCATCCAAAGCAAATCTCCAGACGAAGAAGAAGAAGAACCGCTTTCATATATAAATTCATATATTATTACTTTATTTACAAATAAAAGCGCATCAAATGTGAACTTTTTGCATTTTTTATTATAATTCAATAAAAAAAATAAAATAAACATAAAATAAAAACAAAAAAAATCGATATAAAACCACTTGTTTTCATATTTAGTAAAATGTGGATCCTATCTGTAGTGGAGACAAGAACCTGGAAACATTCTAAATGTAAGCAAGGAACTTCAACTGTTAATTACAGCGATCTTCCAGGATGAGTTTGCTCGCTGACGAGGGCTGCTACATATTAAACATTGTCCAACTACTTCACTTAGCTCTGTCAAAAGCTATGAACTGTGTCACACGAAGACCTGGAGCTGGCATATATTATGAGGAGGACAGAAATAGTTCCAAGTTTAGATTTCGTTTCGGTTCGGTCAAAAATAAATTGTTTCTCGAAATATTGGGTCTTTAACATTTTTTAACCATAATTTTTCGATATTTAAGTATCTGAAACACTACGCTACACACAATATTTTCTCTTATTATTCAGCTCGTTTTAACATTGTTGGCGCGTAACATTTTTTAAATATTCGAGCTATAGAGTAAATAATTGATACTTCGTTAAGTAAATACTACGACAGATACGATTGTGGCATACCAATCGATAGATTCCATTTTATATCGATGTATTGTTAACGTTATGTTAATTACATCACTAAGCCGCTGGCATTCGTAGTCCGCTGATGATACAAAAAATTAATAACAATTTTTTGGACATATGTAGCGGATTATTTATGTTCCCATTGTATGCATTTAATTTAGATTTAAATTCTGCAATTTTTAGAAAAAACCCCATTCAAATTCATCAAATGCAACACAATTTAAGCTACCCAAAATAATTTCCACTGCATTGCGACGAGCGTTCAACTCCGAAAATGCTTTAGTATCAATTCGTGATGGCCACCCGCCATTAAGTAAAAACGTGTCCGCAGAAGAAAAACAATTTCAAACGTTTTTGTTGACGAAACTGTCCAAAATATTGCTGGTTTCGCTGCGGAAAACAAAAATACAGTGAAAGCATATGATTTCCACTCAATTGCGAAGTGATAAGGTCAAATAAATTGCAAAAAATGTGCGTGAAAAATGTAAATCGATTTTCTTGTTTGTGAAAAAAAAAAACTTTTAGCTGCCTTTGCCTCTTGCGAGTGCAGCTCGCCAGAGGGCGGTATTATACACGCTTCGGAGTCGCAGGGTTCTATGCCGTGTTTTTAGTCGCCAACGCCGTTGTTTGCCCAATCGATAACTATTGTTTTTATGTGTCGCGCCTCAACAACGAATTTTTTATTATAATACAATGAAAAGATAATATTTTCGCATGAGCTTCTTGCCTAATTTTAATACGCCATCAGAAATATTTGTTATCGTTGTGCCCTAGTCGCATTTATGCAACGCCGACGTTAGAAGCAAACAATTTGCGGCCTGGGAATGCCACTCGCCGTCGTCAGTCTTCGGCTCTGGCCGCCATTACTGCTTCCAGCAAAACCACGCTATACGCAAAATTCGTGAAATTTGTGTAAATTTTTTAACGAATTATCAACAAAATTGTGCGTGCAGGCGTGTGAAAAGCGTGGTAACGTGTGTTAAAAATTAATTGAAACAGCATAAAAAATACCGCAGCTGGAATATATAAATGATTTGGCTAATAATTGCAAAAAACAAAACCCACATGAAGAGCGCTACGTTTTTTCGTCGTATTTTGCGGATAGGCTTCGTGTTTTTTCATCGTACAATTCGCCGCGTTTGTTTGGGCGAACTCGCCGCGTGTGTGTTTGTTTATGCCGCCTTTTTTACGCTCGCATCGGCGGCGCGGAGCGGCTTTTCTGCTTCTATCTTCTCGCGTACCCTATGATTTTGCATTTTTTGTTTCGAATGTTTAAAGCACAACTACAACTCTTTTTATTATTCATTTCACACTCACACTGAAAAATGAATTGAAATGATTCATCAATTTTGTCGCCAGCAAATTAACGATCTCATATTCTCCGATAGCGTCAGACAATAACAAAATAATATGTGCATGCGTGTGTGTGTGTATGTTTTGCGTGGGACTTCTCTTGTATGGGATAAATGTGCATGTGTGTGTCTGTGTGTTGTGCATTTGCAAATGAAAAACACAGCCCGAAATAATTTTCCCGCGCGCGCGTTTATATATGTGTGTGTGTATCATTATCTGCTTTGTTTGACTGTATGTCTGACATGAGTGTTTGAGTGTGTGTGTGTATTTGTGCGAACGTGCAATCAAGAGTGTGTGTGTGTGTGTGTGTGTGTGAGTGGTTTGTTTACTTATTCGTTTTGTTGTTTGTTGCTTTGCAGATTTGATAAAGCAATACCAAGGAGAACAAGAAATGAACAGAAACTAAAGAAACGCAACTGAAAGTCAATAATAATAGGAAGACAAGAAACCGAATAAATTTATTAAGAATAAAGATGAACTGAAATGTGCAAATTTGATCAACGTAATTATGCCAATTCACATAATTTTTTCGATTTCAACGTGAAAAATGTCGTCGACACAATTGCTGCACTCGTTATTGTTGTTGCTACCACTGCGTTGTCGTCGTAATTGCAATAAACTAATCTCTTTGGCCCTGTTGGTCCTCTCAGCGCTGTTTGCATACCACGAGCAACGACAGCAGCAGCAGCAGACGGCAGCAGAGGCAGAGGCGGCGGACGACGACGGCAGAAGCAGCAACAGCAGCAGTAGCTGCAGCTGCAGCAGCGGCGGAGGAAGCGGCCCAGCAGTAGCAACAAATACTACACAAACAACAACAACAGCATCAGTTAGAAGTTATCCAACAGTTACGTTGGACACTCCTTTATACACAGCAGTCGCAACTGGCGCGGCCGTGATCGAACGGCGTACGAACAAAAAAGCCGCCAGCAGCAACCGGAGCCGGGACGTGGGTACGGGCACAGGCACGGGCACGGAAACGGAAGCGGGCACAGGGGCTGCGTATATTAGCTGGCAGAGCAGCCATTGCCACCGCAGCCCCGGTGCTCAGTCGGAGGCGCAGGCAGAGCAGCCGGTGCTGCGTTCACCAACCACAACAACAACAAATAAGACTCGCTCGGCGTTAACGTTGACGTCGATACATAAGCTTAAGAGCAGCATATCTCCTCCATCCATAGACGCTTCATTTGCGAGGCTAACAACAGTAGCTGCTGCTGCAACAATTAGAACAACGAATCTGTTGAAAGGCTCGTGCATAGGAGCAGCAGCACAAACACCAACACAAACACAAGGAGCAACAAATCGCTGCTGTAGAGATCGGAATCAGCCGTTGCCAGTGGTCGTTGCGGGATCAGCCATTGGCAGTTGCCAAAACCAGGCATCCATAGCAACTTAAGAGGCAACACCACCGCCACCATCACCCCTCACCCACAACTGAAGTAATCAGCAACTAAATCAGACAACAAACAATTCCACAAACAGTTAATAACAGCAAGACAGCAACGTTCCATACAACACAAAACATCCAAAAATACAAAGAAAGGAGAAGAAGGAGGAGACGAAGTAACAGCCACAAAATGTCGAAACTATCATTTAGAGCACGCCACCTGGATCCGTCCAAGCAGATGCCCATTTACTTGGCGGAGGAGCTGCCCGATTTGCCAGAGTATTCGGCCATTAATCGCGCCGTGCCACAGATGCCAAGTGGCATGGAGAAAGAGGAAGAGTCGGTGAGTTATTGATGTCGGTGACTTGAGATTGGCATAGAACTGATGTCCATTGCAACCCTTTGCTAATGCTAATACATATTTACTCATTTTGCAGGAACATCATTTGCAGCGAGCCATTTGCACTGGGCTAATCATACCCACGCCAGAGGTGCTGCAAACGGATCAGCAGTTCTACGATGCCTACTATCCGCCAGACTACAAAATGCCCCGCCAAATGATTCACATGCAGCGTAAGCTCTCGAGTCTCAATCTTGTTTTCCCTTCGTAATCAATTGAAAATGTCAATTTGCAGCCCTGGGCCTGGACACTGAGGTGCCGGACTATGACCTGGATAGCGCGGATGCGGAATGGCTGAGCCAACAGCAACGCTTGCAGCTGACCGAGCTGAAGTTCGAACAAATGATGGATCGGCTGGAGAAGAGCTCCGGCCAAACAGTTGTCACACTCAATGAGGCGAAAACGTTGCTCAATCAGGACGACGAGACTAGCATATCAGTGTACGACTACTGGCTGAACAAGCGCCTCAAAATGGTAAACAACAAAATAATCAGCACAATTATTCTTGAATCTCTGAAATTGAAAATATTTGCGTCGTCTTGCCATTGCAGCAACATCCGCTGATACTCACCGTCAAGACGGAGAGCCGACCGGGGGCGAGTTCCAATAATCCCTATCTGGCGTTTCGACGACGCACTGAGAAGATGCAAACCCGAAAGAATCGCAAAAACGACGAAGCCTCCTACGAGAAGATGCTTAAGTTGCGGTAATTGGACTCCTCAAGTCTTCCTCTTTGATCTGTTTCTAAGCTATTCCTCTCCCTTTTCAATGTTTTGCAGACGCGACCTGCAACGCGCTACAACTATATTGGAAATGGTGCGACGTCGCGAGGAAACCAAGCGAGATCATCTGAAGATGACGGTCGATATCTTTGAGAAGCGTGTCGAGATGCGCGACTTTAACGGTGCAGTCTACTCGGAGCTGAATGCCCAATATAAGAACTCGAGGTGCGATTCAGTTACGAGATATATATCACTAATGATGATTGTAGCCTGGTTGCATTAATAATGAAAATCAGCCTCAAAGAATTTTGTTGAAATGTCCGTAACAGACAGAAGTAGGCGTGCCAGGCGCCATAAAGAATATATATATTTTTGATCAACACGACGAACTGAGTCGATATAGCCATGTCCGTCTGTGTGTCTCATGTGTAGCATACGTAGTAATAATTTATCATTATTTCCGTTAACTCGGTAAAAATCGGTCATTTCATTAAGTGTCTTTACCAAAACTTGGAGACCCCGTTGAGATTGATTAGATTATCAGATCATAAAATAGTTCACGGTATCTGCTAGTCGGGTAGTTGTCATTATGATCACTAGGCAGTTGTAGATTTTAGTAATACCTGAATAATAATTGAACGATTGCTTTCAGACCCGTATACAATTCGTTGTATGCGAATCAATACTCACAAGGCGCTCCGGCGGCTGGCACAACAGCCAGTGGTGCTCTGCTAGCTGGCGGTGGTGTGCTGTCTCCTGGCATATTGGCAACGGGAGCGAACAGCAACGCGGCCGTCTATGGGCAGGCATCGCAGTACCTGAACACATCGAGTATGACTATGGGTAAGATAAAAAATGTCATAAGCATTTCGAGTCTGTTCATAATATTTTTATACTATTTCAGAGGGCATCAGCGCTGGCAGTGGCAACGGCAGCAGCAGTCGAAAGGAGAAACGGCCGTATAAGAAGCGCAAACACAAACTTCCGCGCGATAAGCAATTGCAGCAGCAACAACACCACCAGCAGCAACAACAACAGCAGCAACAACAGTATTTGCCGGGCATGGGCCTGGCGTCCTCAGCGTCGGGCATTTCGCCTGCGCATCTGCATCGGCTTAATCGCCAGAGCTCATCGCCGGCAGGCAACGACTCAATTGCGGACAGCGATGAGGACGACTATCTCGCTGTCGGCGCACAGAACGGCAATAAGATGGGCTCCGAGAGCGAGGAGGAGGCGCCGTTTGCATTTAGACGCAGGCCCAGGTGTAATTACCTGCGGGTAAGTTCACTTAAACCAAGATGGGCCTAAGGGCCAACAACTTAGCTTAATCTGTCATAAATCTACCCGTAAGAGAGTTTGCTACGATTATATATACAATGGGAATATTTGTAAACTATTCAAATGAAAATAACTGGCAGGAATGTTAATTACGGGGAACATATCTGACATGTTATACTTTATCTTGTTTTATAATACTTGATAACTTGATAATGCTATCTATCTTTATGTTTTTCCTAATGTATTTCTCAAAGCTCTAATATCTCTCTCTCTCTTCACAGTAAGCTTGTTATAAATTTCAGTGAAATTAATCTTAAATTCGCTCATCAATTCATATATGTTACTGACCCGCCTCTGGGTATTCGAAGTATATACAAATAGATTTCTTATACAACCAAGATATTTTATATTGATTGCATATTTAAGTTAATATGAATATAAGAATATTTAGCACTTTGTTTGCTCTAGTTTGACAAAGTCATCTATATTTGAGAGATAATTTAACTTCTAATTCTAACATAGATATTCAAATTCAATGGGCAAATTCAAATTGAAAATGATTTAATGTTTCAGTTCTATTAAACGATTTGGAATACAGTAGAATCCCGTTAATTCGAAATGGCAAGGGAATTCAAATTATTGAGAATAGAATAGATAGAATTTTTTATTATTTAGCGGGTTACAAATTATCGATCTCGACAATATTACATCTTTCTTATTTAAATCTTAATTCCTTTACCCTTTTAACAGACGCGTGCCGTTGACGAAGGTCGTTGGCCCTGGGAAGCGCCCGCTGACGAGGATGCGCCGCCCGGTGCGGCCGGTGGTGTTGACGCTAAATATCGTTATACGCTAACATCGATCAACTATGACAGGTGCGATGGCTTAGTGACTTATATAATTTTGATGGCATATTCAATGGTTCTTTGTTTTTTGTAGACCACGCTGCATAGGCTTTGCGCGCCGGCGTCTGGGTCGCGGCGGACGTGTGCTGCTTGACCGGGCCAGCACCTGTTACGACGACCTGTGGTCCCAGTTCGACTATACGGTGCTGGACAGTGTTGTGAAGAGCGGCAAGCCCTCGAAGTACGATCGTAAACAGCAACTGTCCAAGCCCAGCTCCCCGCCAACCGTAGTGGATCTGCCCACCAACAAGGCGGATAAGATAACTGGGGATGGCAGCGCGACACCCGAGGCGGTCCTTAAGGTCGAGCCGGCCGGTGAACAGGTGCTGCCCAAGGAGGAGCGGCAGCAGGAAGAGGAGGACGAAGATGTTGACGAAGAGGATGACCTGTGCTCAGAGGATGAGAATGTGTCGCGTCTGAACATCTACAGCTCAGCGGTGACGTTGCAGCAAAGTCCCTTCGATAAGCGCATGAAACGCCGTCGACTGCACCGCAAGAAACAACAAATGCGGGAGCAGAATGCCGCGAAGCGTCTGAAGAGCGCAGTCGTGGATAGCGAGGACGGCGTGGCTGTGGACGAGGATACGCCGCGACTGCTTCCGCTGCCTAGGTCGTATCTGCAACGCTTGGCACTGGCGCTGCATTCGACGACGACGGCCGCTACAGCGGCAGCGGCAGCGGCAGAGGCAACTGCAGCTGCAGCTGCAACGAAAATGCAGACGGAAGTGTTAACGGATGCAAACGGAATGAGTTTGGGAAAGCAGCCGCAGCAAGAGCTGGAGATGAAGCAGGAAGTATGCGATGAGCTGATAGAGCAGTCACGCCACGCTAATCATCAGCACCACCGTTCCAATAATAATAATAACAACAACAACAATACCGTGTTTAATAATAACAACAACAACAACAATAGTAGTAGTAGTAGTAATATGAATAAGAATGTTAGCATTAGCGAAAAATTCAATGTGATAAAAGTGGAGGATGAGGATGCGGACGGAGACGATGGGACAACTCGGCTTGAGCAGCCTGTGGCCTCCACCTCAGCAGCGGCAGCAGCAGCCCGCGCTGCCGAGGCAGCAGCTGCAGCGACAACAACAAATGCAATCGGATCTGCAAGTTCAGCGACCGAGGCCGAGGTCGAGGAAGTGGCCAGGACGATAAAGCGCGAACTGATCGATGCCGATGACTCGAACGAGCCGTTGAGCAGCATACGTACAGCAGCATCAATGCAGAGCAAGCAGCAGGAGCAGCATCAGGACTTGATGGACGACGACGAGGCCGAAGATGATGTAAATCTGGCACAGCTCAGCAGCATTATAAAGCACACAGCCGTCAAGAAGGAGCTGCAGGCGCAACAGCAACAGCAGCAGAAGCGGCAAAGGCAGGAGGAGAAACAACAGCTGGAGAGCCAAACACGATGCTTCAATCAGATGCCCGATGTCATTCGTCTGCACGATAAGCAACTGCACATTGACGCTGGGGACCTGGATGCGACGGCTCCAGGGCCAACGGAGGACGACAGCGAGGCCTATGACTACATGGGCGGACTGTCGCCAACATCTAGCCAGCGCCTGGACATCTGCAATGAGCTGCTGTCGGAGATCAGGCGCGACTGGCTGCACTTTCGGCCAAAGACGCCCACGGACGAGCTGTCGGACAGCAATCAGGAGGACGAGGACAATGGCAAGCTCTGCGATGCTGCGGTAGTCGACTGGACACAGGACACGCCCATCAGCATCGAGCTGAGCCTGTTGGGCAAGTGCAGTGACGACGACGATCCCGCCAGCGAAGCCCACTTCATGAGCACCGCCTTCAAGTACACGGATCTCGACGCGGATGCTCAGCTGCTGCAAACCGCCTATGCGCTGGACTATGCGCGCGACAGCAGCGATCGAAGTCCCGATCACACAAACGGCGACTGCTCCGACACTGGTTCGGGCCTGGGCTCGGCCTCTGGTGAGGGCTCTGCGCTGGAGTTCAACCTCAGCGGCGGCGATTCGCTCAACGATATCAATCTGCTGGGCGACGATCTGGTCAACAATATACTGCACGAGTGCAGCATGGATGATCCCAAGAATCAGGCTGCCAACTTCTGGAACATCCTGGATGGCGAGACGGCTGTCGATGATGTGGACAACGCTGAGAGTCTACTCGACTGCAAAGCAACCACCGCCTCCGAACTGAAGCGTGCGGCACGCCATCGCTCGCACCACCGCGGCCCATCCGCTCCCCTCGGTAGCTCCAGCTTCAGAACAGCCGATGTGCCGTCCTCCTTCTTTTGCCAGGCACCACCCGTCAAGGAGGAGCCCCCGCCGTCGGCGCAGCCATTGCCAGAAGCCGCACCGCCAGAGCAAACGCAAGCCATCAAGGTGGAACCGGCGGAGGGCACAACCACACCCTCGATCACATTGCCACATTCAGCAGAAATCAGCCTAACGACATCCTCGCCCGCCAACGCATTGCCTGTTGGAGCTTCGGCGCCTGCTGTGCCAGTGCCAGCACCACAGCTGGTGCCAGCCACACCAACTGCAGCGCCGCTGATCGCCACCAGCACAGCCGCCACCCATCTGCTCAACATACCCGCCCAAATCACAACGCAGCAGCAGCAGCATCAACAGCAGCAGCAACAATTGCCGCAGCAATCGAAGCCTGCCCAGGTGGCTGTGACGCAGCAGCTGCTGAATCAGTTTGCCGCCAGCGCGACGCCAGCTGCCACTCAGCTGATTGCGCGGACAGAGTTTGTCAGCAGCGGCACGGCCGTGGGGGATATCGTGACCATAACGCCGCACACGGGCAGCAGTCCGCTGCCGGCGTTGACTCCGCAGCAGCAGCAGCTGCAGCATCAGCTGGCGCAGGCGCAGCTGCGCAATGTCACGGTGCAGCAGAGGCAGGCGACACCCCAGCAACAGCAGCAGCAGCAACAGCAGCAGCAAGTGCAGCAGGTGCAGCAACAACAGCCGCAACAGTTTCTGCTGCAAATGCAGCGTGATATTGGTGGCTCACCGGCTGTGATCTCCTCGCAGAGCATTGTGACGTCACGCAGCGGCAACCACATGATCTATACGACAAGCAGCGGCGAGATCATGACCGCGGCGGGCCAGGTGGGCGCCCAGAAGGTGACATATGCCATACAGAAGAGCGCCGGTGGCAGCAGCGCCTCCATTGGGCCCAACACGGTCATCACGCTGTCCAACGTCAAGCTGCAGAACGATGACAACTCATCCTCCGCCTCGCAGCCATCGAGTGTGAACATCATCAACACCGCCAGCGGGCAACAGTTGGCGGTGCACAGCATCTCTGGCATTCAGCAGCAGCAGCAACAGCAGCAGCAGCAACTGCAACAGGTGACAACGACCAGCACGCCGCTGATTGTGACCACGCGCAACAACAACGCCCACCAGCAGCAGCAGCAACAGCAGCAGCAGCATCAACAACAGCAGCAGCAGCAGCAGCAACAGATCGTGCAGCAACAGCAGCAGCAGCCAATCGTTTGGCGGCAGGTGAGCGGCACCAACACGGCGGTGGCCACCACAGCGGTGCTCTCCAGCACCACAGCCGATTCGGCAACAGCGGTCGGCAATAAGATTGTGTGGACGAGCCGAGCCACCCAGAAGCGGCAGAACGGACCCGAAAACACAGGTGAGTGAAGCTGAATAAATAAATGCAAGCATGCATTGTGCAAATGCAAATTTCGATAAATCAGTGAGAGAGTACAGAATGAACATGAATTGGGCCTTAAGGATATTTCAGTAAATATATATGTATTTATTTTCTGTTATTTATTTGCAATTTGATTATTAATTATACTGTTGTATTCCTTAAATTATGAATTGGATTTTAGATTTGAGCAAGTCCATTAATGTTATTTCATTTTATTTATTTAATGGTGTTATTCTATTCTTTTTTTTTATATATAGTTTTTTAATTCTATTATTTATTTGTGTTTCTCTCTTATTATTAATTATTTTATTTCTTTGTCTCTTCATTTATGTTTATGAAATTCCAAAAAAATACTTTTGGTTTTTTAGTTTTTAGTCACTTAAAATTGTGTAGCATACTTTTTTGGGGCGCCACTGCAGTGCACTGAAGTCTTCTAATATTGAAAGATTTTCTTCTATATTTTATCTATTGCATGTTTTATCTAATGCATCGCACGCATTATGAAGCTGTAGATTCTTTTCGATGTTCATAGTTGTCATATATTATAATATTTTCGATTGGAAAGATTGGATTTTATACGTTGATTGCTTATATTATTAAGAGTACATTCGAATTGTATAGCACATATATTGGGGATAAATGGGTTTTATATTCATGCAGGAATCCATCCAACTTGCTGTCCATCTATCCGCGTGAACGTATTCCATTCCGCCGCTTTCAAACCTAAAGACTTTAAACTATAAATTTTGTTTAACATTTACCCTCGTCTGATAAAGTGTTATGATGATCCCGTTAGGTCCAGATCGAATAATACTTTGTCTCCTGCTGGGTGTTTTTCATATAATCAAACATTTTCGACCTAGTAATTGTTAATCTCCCCTAAGGCCCAATGACCCTATATAATAAAACTCGCTGATTCCGAGGCGAAGGCCTTGGCAAATATTTTTATAATTTAGCACACATCGGAATACAATTTTCATATAGTTTCTGCCAGAGTTTATAGCTTCTCCTCTTCGAGGCCGTGTTTGAAAAACATGAGAACTGGAACGCTCTCGCCATCCACTTGGCGATATTCGCACATGGCGACCATGCCGTCGATGTCCATTGACTCGCCAGTGAAGAATTGCAGTTCCTTGAATCGCCCGAGAATGTCCTTCATCGCTTTGTTCATGTTGGCCTTCAGGACATCGACCTCTGCCGGAGCGGTCTGCTGCAGATGCTCGAGCACCTTTTTCATGTAGTCCCTGAGGTAGAGCGTAAAGGACTTCTTATCGGCAAAGGCAAACGACTCCTGCAGTCGGTGATTCAGTACCACATCGACGCCGCTTTCGACGGACGCATCGGCGCCCTCGTCGGCCTCCTCGGCCGATGGATTGGCACCGGCCAGCACAATGTTGTCCTGATTGCGCGTAACCAAGCTGCCAAATACTTCATAGATAACGTCATCGACCAAATTCATTTTATACGTATCTGTGAACATCTCGTCCCCAGTGAAGATATCCTTGTACACTTTCATTCTGAATGTCCTTGAAGCGTGCGTTACAGAAAGCGGACACCAAGTCTACAGTGATAGTTAAACTATAGATAAGAAAGTTTTGAGAATTTTCTGTGCATGTTACTTAAAAAAATGTTTTGTTCTTGTGACATAAAACGAAATGCTCCGAGTTGAAACAGAAGAATTTAAATAAATTAGATCTCCACTGGCAAGGGAACAGAGTATATAGATGTGTTCACAAAAAAAGCAGTGCGACTGAAGACTGTGTTAAAATTCAGTTAAAGAGCACAATATCAAAGGCATATTGATTTTAACATTTGTGTTGATTAATTTAGAGATTATTCAGTTACAAACTTGGGAGTAAGAGGACTTCAATAATTTGAAGTTGAATAATGATGAATCATGAGAGAACTATAGATAGCTGAGAAGAAACATTTGTTATAAGAATTAGTGATAAAAAGAGAAGAGAAAAAAAGGAAAGAACTAAAATTAGACCAAGTTCAAATATTAAGTATTATACATAGATTAAAATCTTCATATAATGGAAAGGATGAGGCTCTCTCTATTCATCACTTCAGAGGAATTCGATGCCGATTTTAATAAACGACTCGATGATAATTCAGTTGCCACAGCTCTCTTGACAGCGTCCCACAGGACTTCGATCAGCTCATGAAATATATACATATATATAGAATTGACTTTACCTTGAAATTGGCTTAAATTCGAATAGCTCTCAATCTCTCACCACCACTCTCTCTCTCCCTCTTTCACTTCTAACTTAAAATTCCCACAAAATTTGCACAATGTAGCTGAATTCCGTTTTCTGTTCCACTTCTGTAATAATTGGTTGGCTTTGTCTCTTGCAGATATTAACAAGCTGCTGCTGAACCGGAAGTTCTCGCAGCGCAAGGTGGGGCAGCAGGCAGTGACGCAGCAGCAGTTCCAGCTAACGAAGCAGCAGCTGCAGCAGCTGGTGCAGCAAGAGGATGAGCTGGTGGCTAGTGGAGCTGGCGAGCAGCTGACACTGCAGGACGGAGGCGATGCACTGCAGCAGCAACAGCAACAACATCTGCAACAGCAGCAGCAGCAGCAACAACATCAGCAGCTACAGAAATTCGGCAAGGTGTTCAAAATGTCGCCATTCCCGCTGATTGTGTCGGACCTCAATCTGCAGCAGCAGACGAATCAGCAGCAGCAGCAGCAGAAGCCCAACTCAGCAGCGGCCATTGCGGCGAATCACAACTACAGCCTGCAGCCGGCCACAGCCATCATAACCTCCCAGGCGGCGCCGCAGCAGGCCAACAAAATCTTCCTGACCAGCAATAGCAGCGGTGGCAGCGGCGGCAACTTCATCGCCACCGCCAGCGAGCTGCAGGCGGCGGTGGCTGCCAGCAACGCGGGCCAGCAGAAGCTCCACTACAAGGAGCTGCCCAATGCCAATGTCAAGCTGAATTTCGTGAGCACCGCCACAACGGGCAATGCGGGCGACGCGCTGGTGACCCAGGCGTCGCAGCAGCTGGGCGCCACCACAGTGGTGCTGAATAAGACTGGCTCACCGCTGCCCACCGCCATTCAGCAGCAGCAGCTGCAGCAGCACCAGAAGCTCAAGACGGGCGGCACGCAGGTGCAGGTGCCCGTCTCGGCTGGGGATAAGCGCGTGCTCTACACGAGCCTGCTGAATGTGAAGAAGAACAACAGCGGCCAGATGCAGATGCAGCTCGGCGCCGCTGGACTGCAGCAGGTGTTGCGTGGACGGCTGAACAACTCGGCGATATTGACGCGAACCCTGCCGCTGGGCACCACGGTCAACAGCACGGGCGGCGGCGGCGGCGGTGGCGGTGGCAGCGGAGGAGGAGCAGGTGGCGTTGGAGGCACTCCGACAACCATACGCCAGCTGGTCAGCAGCAATGTCACCAACAATGTGGGAGCAGTAGCAGCAGCGGCAGCGGACACCATTGCCAAGGAGGTGGGCAAGGTGCATGTGACTGTGGAGCAGGTGATTGCCAGTGCCAACAATGGCGGCGTTGTGTTGCCTACCACCACCAATAACAACAACAACAACAACAACAGTAATAGTAACAATAACAACAACAACAGCAACAGCAATGCAAATAGCAGCAGCAATAACAACAACAATGGCAGCGGGACAGGCGGAGGCGGCATAAACGCAACAACGAGCAATGTGAACGCGACTCCGACGATAAACAGATGAGACGCGGACGGCAGCTAACATCCAATGACAAGTGGAGGCTGTTGCACGCTTAATCTGCCCAGCGGCACCTCGCTCAGCCTGGCGCCATCGGCAGCGGCAGCGGCAGCGGCACCGCGGTCCAGTCCGCTGATGGTGGCCCTGGGTCAGCTGCTGCAGCCGCCGCAGTGCTGCTGTGCCCTCTGCCTGGTGAAGCTGGGCAAGCAGACGTCTGCCTAGAGGAGCAGCAACTGCTGCTGCTGCTGCTGCTGCTGCAATTACATAAATATATAAACAATATATATGTACACATAGATATTGCGTATATCAAGCGAAAACCTACAAATATTCGATGTGGATTATTGCAAATTGCGAGACCCCCCTCCGCCAGCCCCCAAGAGTGGATGAATGTAAAATATATTGGAAAATGGATTGGCATCGGTTCGGATAGGAGGAGGGATCTCCGTGGAGAGTGGCGAGTGGAAAGTGGAGTGGAGTGGAGTGGAGTAGGGCTGGGCGTTATGATTTATGTAACTCTTATGATTATTATGTAATATGTAACTTGTTTTCGGATAGTTGCTTGCACTTGCATACATACAAAACTAAACTAAACGAAACAAAACAAAACGAAACGAAACGAAGAGATAAAGTGTATAAAGGTCGATAATTGAGAAGCCACCACTAACAAAAGTTCGCTTAATTTTAGATATGTGTGTAACGATTCAGGTCTTATTTTCAAGATCGCCTAACCCTAAAGCCTAAATATTAGCATATATGTATAAATAAATACATACATATATATAAATATATATCTATATATATATTAAACATAGTAGCGCTCAGCCCTCAGCAAGCAACCAGCCAAGCAAACCAACTAAATTAGACTAAACCTTAAAAATATATACAAATTAAAACAAAAACCAACAACAACAGCAACAACAACTCATGTGTTAAATAGCGAACTGTAAATATTTGATAATAACTTTGAATGATATAAAGCTAATAAATATGTTAGGTAATACAATACAAAATAATGTTAGTTGGCATCTCAACATGTACACACACACACACTTATACACTCACACGTCCACACACCCACACATTCATGAACACTTGGCTATTGAGCTTTCCAGCTAAATGCCGTTTCAGAACCATGCGCTTTAGCAACGCTGCCACGCCCACTTAATAGGCGCTGGCAGCATGCGTTTACAAAAATAATAAGAGAAAAAGTAAACAAAAAAATTAATGAAAATATGAGAATGTAGTGGAAGGAGCAACATTTTTCAATGTACGTAAATTAAATTAACTTATGCTGTAACAAGAATTAAACTACATTTAGGTATTTTAACTATGAAATACGGAAATGAGAAGCGGATAGAGAGGAGCAGTTGCGAATTCGATAAAAATTTATATGTGAGATCGATTGGGCAACAGAAACACACACACACATACCCATACACACATACACACTCACACACAGAGAATACACTATTAATGTATGCTATTATTATTAATATTATAATTATTATTATTTTTATACAAGGTAATATTTTTAATTGTAACTGCAACAACTTTAATGCTTATGCATTCGGTAAATATTTTAAATCCAAAACAAAATGCGAAAAATTATAATACATATAAATAAATAAATATATATATATATATATAACTACATATATATATATATATGTATGTATACATAAAATTAATAAACTACAATTAATATGCGTAGCTGTACTTTCTTTAGCGTGTAAACAATTAGCATTGTAAGTGTAAGCGATAATAAATGGAAACACAAAAAAATGCAACTTAAAAATATATATATAAAAAAAAAAACAAAATTAATAAAAACCGAAAACACAAACAAAAAACAAAAACAAAACAACAGCAACAAATACATCATTTGAAAAAAGTAAATTCTTTAAAGAACATTTTTGGTTTGTTGATTTCTTTTTGTTGTTTGCATTGGATTTTCATTTACTAAACAATTCTTTTATTTTCAGTTTAAATCGTAGAAATAATATATTTAAGAAGAAAATTTACTCAAACGACGGCATTTGTGACGAAAAAAAGCTTTACACACCGAAATCAACCCCGACTTCCGCTATATAGAAACCTAATGACTCTTTGGCCCATATTACATGGATACATAGATATTCACTCAGCACACACACACACACACACATACATACATACAGTTCTTGCATTTGCAGCTGGCTCTGCGTGTTAAATGTAAAGCTTTGTTTGCTTATACTCATACATACATACATACACATGAGGCAGGTACTTATGTATGTCATGCATGCATACAGTTGCAGCTTTTGTCATGCCTATGTAACTGGTGTGAAAGGACAGAGGCTTATCCTTAATAAATATGCTCACACACACACACGCATGCATATTGTCTATGAGTATGCTGTAGGAGAGAATTACATTTAATACATACATACACATGCATATGAAGCTAGTAGCTATGCATATGCATACATATATAATTCTATAATTCATTTATTGAACTAGTTTGACTTTACATACATATAGAGCACATATGTATGTATGTATGTACACATATGAGCATCCATATTTACATTAGATACATCCATACACACATTGCATACATGCATGTCTTCATCAATATGCAGCAAGCATGTACAGGCATACATAGTGCAACTTGAAAATACTGAATGCACACACACACATACACAAGCAGCCATTCATACCTGCATACATACACAGCCAGCTGCTTATACAAATATATATATACCTATATATGTCATATATGTATGGCCAAGCATGTTTTGTATAATATACCAAAAACTAAAATACATACAATCTATAAAAATGAATGTTTTTAAGACTTAAATACTCTATACACAAACACACACACACAACAACAAATATATATATATATACAGAATATCCATGAAAGTTATCTTTTTGGATTTCTCGGCTCTATTTCTTCTCCATTAAAATAATAAAAATGTGATGTTAAAAACTTTATGATTTGAAATTTGCAACTTAAAATACGGGTAAAAAAGCAAAGCAAAAGTTAAAAAAAAAAAAAACCAAGAAATATAGGGAAAAATAATGGTATTTGAATACACATTAAAGCATACACATACATGCTCACACATACTTATGGAGACTCACACACACACACACAGACTGTTTAAATATTGTTTGAAAACATAAAATAAATTAAAAATATACAATAAATAAATAAACTATAGACATTAAATATAGATTTGAACTCTCGTTGTTGCATGTTTTTTTTTTAAACAAACGTTCTTTCGGTTCTTTTCAGCATTTACGCAATCTGTATAATCGATCTTAGAGAACATACATATATAGCTTTGATCTGATCCACATGGGATCTTTTCCAGATTGATTTGATTTCATCGTTTCCAGTTTTTCACTAGTTGCTCACATACTCAACTTGTATTTGTATATATGTATATGTATGTATGAGTGTAATGGAAATTATATATATATATATATATATATA